TGGGCACCGAGATCCATGATCTGAACATCCCCTGCAGAAATGTCTGTGCCATTGCTGTTGCAAAGGGTCACCCCTCACTCAGGTTGGGGTGGGTTTAGCCCCTACGTGCATCATCTGAATAGTCTCGCATGCAACAGCAGGCTCTGTAGAAGACAAACTCTCTTCACATCTTGCTCTCTGTGCAGCAAAGTCTAACTCCTGGCTTTGCTGCATGCCAGTGTGCTGCTGGCCCAGCTTGCCTGCTAAACAAAACCTCCTGCCTCCAGATAAAAGATGATGATCGGGAAAATGCACTGGGAACCCTCGTTGTGTCAATGTCCCAAGTGCTGAAGGAGCCTGAGATGACTCTTGATCAGAGATTTCAGCTGGATCACTCCGGCCCAGACAGCTTTATTAAGATGAAACTCATCCTGCGGGTAAGTTGTCCTTTCTCTTGCATTTCCCCTGCTTCCCCTGCATGTCACTGAAGGAAACTAGTCAAGCCTTACTCCAATGCCAGCATAGATAGCTGTTTTAAAAATACTTCATCCTGACCAACAAGGCAGTATCGCTGCCAAGAGTTGCAACTTTGATGTGCAGCTCCACGGAAACTGAATCTGTCCGGTAAGGTAATAGCAAACCAAACAGATTGGGTTTCCTAACTGCAGGCAAATTCAAGGACTGCTGTAGAGAAGACAGAACTTGCATGCCATGAATTCTTGCCCTGCCCCACCGAATAAATTGTTGCTGACCATTTTTCAAATGTACAGAGTCCACTGACACGCATTATCATTTACCTGGAAGGCGAGGGTGTAAAACGATGATGTTGTGATCACCAGTCCAGAACCACGACTGAGCTCTGAGTAAGGCTGGCTTCTCCTCTTTGCCCCTTGCGTTCCCAAAAGAAACCAGTTCTCCCAAAATACGGTGGTGGCATTTCATCCTCGTTTAGTGTTTGGAGTTTTTCCTGGGAAGTTTGTTAAAAGTCAGGAGTCCTAAAGCTGCAGATCAGTATCCTTAAAAGTGAAGCAAATTACCAAGAAAAGGCCTAAAGTTAGAGCCTTAAAACACATGCTTAAAACCTAAACAAATGATCAACAGCACCAATAAAATTAGGGAAAATTTTAACCACTTACAAAGGCCTGGATTTACATGTGGGAGTTTAAGCACCAAATGCACTCCCCCACTGCCACCCCAACTATAGCCATGGCAATTTTTAAACACTTTGGGTGTGTCTGCATGTCACCCTGTAGCGACGCGCTACATCACCGTACAGCGCGCTACAGTGATGTAGTAATCACGGGGGTCTACATGTGATTGCCAGCTATGTCACCGTAGCGGTGCAGTCCCCCAGTACAGTGCGCTGCTGCGGCGACGTAGCAGCGAAATCTAACTGTGCGCCGTGCGGTAACCACCCATAGTGCACCATGCTGTAGTACTTCCAAAAGGAAGTACTAAAGCACGGTGCTGTAGCAACGTCACCATATTGCACTGTGTAGATGCACCCTTTGTAGCTTTGGCTACAATATAGTAATACTAATATTAGCATTACTGAAGCAACCATAGATGAGCTGGATCTGTATAAAGACATATAACAAATCAGTGCCTGCCCCAGAGTCCTGATTAGAGAAACAAAGGGTAGGAAACAAGAAGCATACCCCTGTTTACAGATGGCGAATGATATCAGAAGATGATTTACTTCCTTGCATGCACTTGGGGGGTCTGTAATAAGAACTGGAAACTGAAATCCGATTTCCTGAGTTCCAGTTCAGAGTCTACACTACAAACCCAGGTGACACCAAGCTGTGGGGAGTAGTAGATATGCTGGTGGGTAGGGCTAGGATTCAGGGTGACCTAGATAAATTAGAGGGTTGGGCCAAAAGAAATTTTATGAGGTTCAGTAAGAACAAGTGCAAAGTCCTGCACTTAAGATAGAACAATCCCATGCACCGGTACAGGCTGGGGGTGACTGGCTGGGCACCAGCTCTGCCGTAAAGGACCTGGGGGTTGCAGTGGACAATAAGCTGAATATGAGCCAACAGTGTGCCCTTGTTGCCAAGAAGGCTAACAGCATACTGGGCTCCATTGGTAGGAGTGTTGCCAGTAGGTCAAGGGAAGCGATTATTCCCCTCTATTCAGCACTGGTGAGGCCACACCTGGAGTACTGTGTTCAGTTTGGGCGCCCCACTACAGAAAGAGTGCAGACAAATTGGAGAGTCCAGCAGAGGGCAATGAAAATGGTTTGGGAGATGGGAGACATGACTTATGAGGAAAGACCGAGGGAGCTGGGATTATTTAGTCTGGAGAAGACTGAAAGGGGCTTTAATAGCAGCCTTCAACTCCCTCCAGGGGGTTTGAAAGAGGATGGAGCTGGACTGTTCTCAGCGGTGGCAGATGACAGAACAAGGAGCAATGGGCTCAAGTTGCAGCATGGGGGGTTTAGGTTAGATATTAGGAAGAATTTTCTCACTCGGAGGGTAGTAAAACACTGGAACAGGTGACCCAGAGAGGTGGTGCAATCTCCATCCTTGGAGGTTTTTAAGACCCAGCTAGACAAAGCCCCTTGGCTGGGATGATATAGTTGGGGCTGGTCCTGCTTTGAGCAGGGGATTGGACTAGATGTGACCTCCTGAGGTCCCTTCTAACTCTCATTTTCTGTGATTTGGTGATTCCCTTATAAGAATAAAGCAGTAGAAATAAGAGGGGAATTTTTAGGTCACTGAAAGAGTTTATAGTGAGATAGAGCAAGGGCCTCACCATTTATATCTGATTTCCATGCTCCTCTCTGAAGTCAGTGATAACCATCCCAAAGGATTATGTGCTGTAATGTTGGCATTAAGCACCCACAGTTGATTTCTGCACCTCCTGGTTCTTAGGCCTTGAACATCGAGGAGCCTGATCCACTAAGTGTCTCTTCTGGTGTAAATGCCTTAAAGCAGCTTCCTGTACCTGTTGCAGAGAAGGGTGGAAATCAAGCCAAATATTTCACTCCACCAAAAACAGAAGCCTCCAAAATACCCCAGGTGACCAAAAGTTCTGCAGTGCCAGAAGCTGAACCAGCGAGGAAGGAGAGCAATGCAGACCTTACTGCCCATGAGAACTTGGCAGGCCCAGTGAAGGACACTGCCGCTGACTGTATTGAGCCAGCAGGTGCACAAAATCTGGAACCCCAACCACCAGCGACCCTACACACAAGGATGCTGCCAGCACCCTCGATGCCAGCTCTGCAGGAACTCGGGCTGGCCCCCAGTATCGGTTCACTGGGTTCTCTTCCTTCTTCCTGCTTTGATTTAAGTCGCACCAATCCAGACCTGCACAAGTATGTATCTCAAGTCAAAATTTTACTAGATGCATATTGTTTTTGCAGACTGCGTATGGAGTAGGGAGTGCAGACCCCAGGCTCCTAAGGGATTTAGCAGAGAACTTGCATAAATGTTTTAGCCCAACAGCGGTAAAGGAGTAAGGTAAATCTTTCTAAGGCCTGAAAATGCTTTTCTGGAAGTTAACTTGATCAGTTCTGCCTTCAACATGGGTCTTCCTGTCCTACAGAAGTCTGTAGGCACCTGTGCATTCGTGCAGTGTGACTTTGGAGAATTAATTCCCTTTTGAGATACTTTAACCATTTGAACGTAAAGAAGGAAGGTTCTTTTCAGTCAAATAAGTATCAAACCAGTTCCAGCTGTTCAGTCTAGCCTTTGACAGTGTTTCTGTGTAATGCACATTGAAACAAGAATATTTTCTAAGTGTTCCTGCTGTAGGATAATACCCGGGTCTTGGGAACTATATAGGAACGTAAGAAAGTAGAGCTGGTAGGGACCTCACAAGGTCATCTAGTCTAGCCCGTGCTGATGGCAGGAGCTTCCCTGACTAAACCATCCCACCCAAGTGTCTGTTTAACCTGCTCTTGAAAACTTTCAAGGATGAAGTTTTCACAAGTTCTTGAGGTAGCCTCTTACAATTGCAATAATATTCTAAGGGATGCACCAAAATCTTCTGTTGGGTAGCGAGTTAGCTTACAGGAGGGAGACACAGTGACATGGGTTGCATTATGCCATACTTAGACTACATGCACAAGAAGTGGGCATCCAAACGCTTCATGGAGACACCATTATTATAATCATTCCTATGTTGTGTTCATTACAAGAGCAGGCGCTGGTACAAGAAGTGTTCTGACCATTTCTGGTGTTATCCTGTAGAGGGCTAATGGGAGCAAAACATGGGAAACCTCAAGCAGCATCATTTTATGCTCTGAAACTTGGGTTCGAGTTTCTCAAGGGGATGGGCTGTGAAACTTGGTGCATGGCTAGCTTCTTTTTTTCCCCCCCCTTATTGTCACTTTTTCAATTGAAAATGCATTGTCAACTGGTAGATCTCCTAATACGCACCCCTCTGCACATACCTTTTGTTGCATGCAACCCATTGCATTTTAAAAGATGCCGACTGTGTCTTACAGTGGAACAAACCAAGTGGATGTGCCTTTGGGAGAGATTCATGTTACTGTGAGATATGCTTCTTTGCGGCAGAGTCTCATTGTGATGATAAATGGTTGCAGGTAACTTTTTGTTTTTTGTATCTGCCTCTGATCTAAATGGAGGCATGTTTTCCTTATATGTGTTAATACTTCGCTGTAACTTTATTAAATGTACATAACACATACAGGCTATATAGTATAGCGCAGCAGATATTGCCAAGGGAGGGTAACATTTGCTGACTCTTAACTATACAGTTTTACTAGACTCAGGAACATGGGAATTGCTGTATCTGATCCATTTGATGTTCCATTTATTTCACTATCCTGTGATAGGAATAAATACACAGAGTTGAGCATGGACTACAACATTGCATCCCACCACCCAGACTCTTTCTTCCCTGACTTCTTTGGGTGGCTCCTGCCTTGGCTATCCTAAAATTAAGAAGTCTAGGTTTTGAAAAATAAATGCCTAAAAATTAGCTGTTTATATCTATGGTTAAAAATCTTGGAAGTAGCCTCATTTCTCAAAAGTTTCGAGCATCCAGCAGCCACCTGCTTCAAATTTGAATTGACTTCAAGTTGTATATAATTCAGTTTGAAAGACCTGAGATCTTTCTTATCTTGGGGGTTGGGATGGAAGCTAATCGTTTGTCCCTGAAGCTGTGAAAATTTGGCTCGACTAGCATGTCTAGTTCAGAGCTTGTGGATCACATGGTATCAACGTAGACTATTTATTTTTCTTTCTGCAGGAACCTGATACAATGTTCTACCCGTGGAATAGATCCATATGTCCGCATCTACCTGCTTCCAGATAAAAGATGGACAGGCAGAAAGAAGACTACTGTTAAGAAAAAAACATTGAACCCCCAGTACGATGAGAAGTAAGTACAATCGTTGTTGAAATATATTAGGAAGAGATGGACGGTGATACTGAGAAGGATTAAACTGATCATCATTTCACTACCTTTAGCATGAACTCTGCCTAATGAAATGGGCCAGAGAGTTGCGTGTGTACCTTATACCTAAAGGATTATATCACGCAAAACTTTGCAGGTCTTCTACAAAAATGGCTCTAAATGGCTGGAACTGACCAAAACGTAAGGTTGGTTCCTGGCCATGCATGCAATTCCCTTCCTCTGGTTCTGGACTCCTCTCTCTCCTGTCTGTCTAATTTCTAGGAGAAGCCAAAGGTTTCTTGTTTGCCTCTTTGCCTGCAGGCATGTTTTTCTCCTCCCAGTCTCCTTGCATGCGAGTCTTCTACCAGGCGATGGTCTCCTTCCTCTTCTACACCAGATCAACTTACCCCTCATTAATCAAACTCTTTTTCTGATGCCCGGGGCTGCCTCTGGCACTGTCCCACAATCCAAAAGCAGTACTATAAAAAGATCCTTCTTTTGAGAGTGGTCCATTACCATATTTTTCAGGTTCAGGATCATTGGACAGGAAGGGACCTTAACAGGCCCTTGTAAAGGGTCACACAATGGTGCTGAAAAATAGAGGGGTAAAATCCTAGAATCACAGCAAAGTAGGGCTGGAGCAGACCTTATCATGTCATCTAGTTCAGTCTCCTGCTCACAGCAGGATCATCCATGACTAAAGCATCCCAGTCAAGTGTCTGTCTAATCTGCGTTTAAAAGCTTCCAGGGGTGGAGATTCCACCATCTCCATAAGTAACCTGTTCCAACAATTAACTACCCTAATAGTACGAAAGTCCTTCCTAATATGCAACCTAATTTCCGTTGCTGCAAATTAAGACACTTCTTGTATTGTCCCCTGTGGCCACAAAAGAACAGTCTATCGCCATCATCCTTATAACTTATCCTTTGTGTATTTGAAGACTTATTAAATCCCCCTCTATTTTGTCTTTTCAAGACTAAAGAATCCCAGTTCTTTCAGTCTTTTCTTGTCTTTCATGCTTCCTCCACTTGTAATCGTTTTCATTGCTCTCCAGTGGATCCTTTCCAACTTGTGTATATCTTTACTGAGATGAAGTGCCCAACACTGGATGCAGTATTCCAGGTGAGGCCTAACCAGTGCTGAACAGAGGGGAAGAATCATTTCTCTTGGCTTGCAAGTGACACTTTTATGCTTCTGCTAATATAACCAACTGTGCTATTTTTTCTGACTCATTTATTTTGCCGTCCACCCCAAGGCCCTTTTCTACAGTAATGCAGCTGATCCTATTGTTCCCCATTTTGTGTTTGTGCATGTGACTCTTCTCTCAAGTGCAGGATTTTTGCATTTGCCCTTGTTAAATTTCATTTATTTTGGACCATCTTTCCAGTTCATCAAGGTCATTCCTGAATCATAATCCCATCCTCCAAAGTGGCTGCAACCTCACACAGTTTAGTGTCCTCTGCAGACCTGCAACCTGTGTACTCAGTCCAAATCCTCCATTAGTACTGGATCCGGGACAGATTCCTCAGGAACCTGACCCGATACACATCTCTCTCTTCCTAACTAGACATTGAACCATTGATGGTGCACAATGATCCAACCAGTTATAAATCCACCTTTATAGTACTGTTGTCCAGACTATTTTCTTAGCTTACTAATAAGAATATCATGGATGAGTATGTTAAAATCCTTGTTGAAGTACAGTTGCAGCGTATCATATCCACTGCTCCCCTCCACTATCCGCAAAACCTGTCACTTTGTCAGAGAAGGAAATCCGGTCAGTCGAGCATGACTTGCTTTTGACACATCCACTTTAGCTGTTCCTGACCTCCTTATGCTGTAGGTTTCCTTGATGACGTGTTCTTTAATCTTTCTAGGTGTTGAGGTTTGACTGATTTAACCCCTTCCCCCCCAGATCCTGCTTCCCCCCCCACTCCTTTTTTTTTTAATGGAAACTATATTTGCTCTTTTTCAGTTAATTTGGGACCTCATCTGACCGCCACGAGTTCTCAAAGATAATAGCCAGCGGTCACGCACATACCGCAGGCCATTCCTTGAGTACTCTAGGATAGGTCTTGTCTGGCCCAACTTTTCTAAATAATTTATGAGCTGCTCTTTCCC